TCCTCCTCCTCCTCCTCCTCTTCCTCCTCATCCTCCTCCTCCTCCGCCCTCCTCCCTCCTTCTCATCCTCCTCCTCCTCCTCCTCATCCTCCACCTCCGTCTCTTCCTCCTCCTCCTGGAGGTTCCACAAAAATAGCAACAGCAAAAAACTCAAGGCATCTCGTCCCCCCTGCTTGAGAATAGCAAGCTTGCCCATGGAACTGGACACTCCTCCTCCTCCTCCTCCTCCGCCTCCTCCTCATCCTCCCACCGGAGGTTCCACCAAAGATGGCAACAAAAAACAAATCAAGGCATCCCGACCCCCCACACCTTTGAGAATAGCAAGTTCGCTCATGATCCTGGATCCTCCTCCTCCTCCTCCTCCTCCTCCTCCTCCTGATCCTCCTCTTCCTCCTTATCCTTGTCCTCGTCGTTATCCTCCTCCTTCCTCCTTTCTCCTCCTCCTCCTCCTACCTCCTCCTCCCCATCATCATCATCATCATCACATCATCATCAATCATCATAATCATCATACATCAATCATCATCATCATCATCATCATCATCATCATCATCATCATCATCATCATCATTCTCAATCCTCATCCTCATCCTCATCCTCATCTCATCCTCATCCTCATCCTCATCCTCGTCCTCCTCCCCGCCTGCACCGGCCCCGCCCCCCCCCCACCCCCACTGGTAACGTCACCATTCGCTGGGAGCGCCGATGCATAACTGAAGACAGCTTGGATAGCAGAGCGCTCTAGGGATCTGCGACAGCAGAGCGTGCACCTTCGAGTGCCACGGTGGCCTGCGAGCACCATCGCGTATCTGGCCAGGGAGAGGGTAGTACCTGCGGTGCTCTGAAGCACGTCGTCGTGCTGGCAGGCTACTGTTGTGCTCACAGACAAAAAAGAGGGGGGGAGAACGGACGAGGAGGAAACACTTTCCAGCGCAAGAAGGAGGACGACCACGACGAAAAGAGGAGGAGGTGGAGGAGGAGGAGGAGGAGGAGGAGGACGACGACGACGACGAGGACGACGAGGCCCCTTACTCCGTCGGACCCAGAAGCGTAACAAACAGGTCGTGTCGGCATGGCCCCGCCTCACTCGCCCCCTCCTCCCTCCTCCCAGCTCCCTCCTTAGTGATGATGTGCTTGCCTGAAGCGCTGTACTATACAATGAGGAGGACGAGGGCGACGAGAGAAGCAGGAGGGGGACGACGACGACGACCAGGGGAAACAGGAGGGAGGAGGGAGGAGGACGGAGCGAGGCGCAGCTTTCGGAGAGGATATGGCCTCGCCGAGCTCGGGGGGTGGGGGGCATGTTGAGAGCCCCCCAGAGCTTCCCTCCACCCCCGACCTGGGTAGGAGTAGGATGAGGAGGAAGAGGACGAAGATGAGGAGGACGACGAAGAGAGGAAAGGAGAGAAGGCGAGGAAGGAAGAAATGGGGGCGCGAGGGGAGGATCAACAATATCGCCGCCCTAAGGAAAAGGAGGAGAAGAGGAGGAGAAGGAGGAGCACAAGATGGCCCCCGGAGGCTTTCCTGGGACCGCTGGCGAGCTGGGGTATGTCGAGATCGACCTGGTTCACTTCCTCACGCCCTGAAGAGCCCTTCACTGGGGGCGCCGGCCGTGGCGGGCCGCGACTGCATGCTCCACGACCGAAAAGCGGGCATTGCCTGGCAGTCTTCTGACAAAGAGAGGACCCCTCCAATATGGGCTCTACCAGCGCCTCTGAGGCCTCCAACAGCGCTTCAAGAACGCCCCAAGAGACGCCCAAGAGGCCTCCAGGAGGCTCACAAGATAGTGAAAGATGGGCCAAGAGGCCCCCAGGAGGCCCCCAAGAGACCCCCAAGAGGCCTCAAGAGACCCCCCAGAGGCCCCAAGAGGCCCCAAGATGGCCCCAAGAGGACCCTTTCGAGCTGCCTTTCTGCACTAGTTGTAAATGACTCCTCCCCGTCGCACTCCCGGACGTGTCGGGGGCTGGGCGTTTCGCCTGAAACGTCCGCACCACGTATCGTCCTGAGCCTCGCAACCTGCAATGGCTTCAAAGATGGAGGCGGGTGGTGTTCAAAATGGAACTCTCGCATACCCGCTGGGCGCACTGATCTCACAAGTTTGCAATAGTCTACGGGAAAGAAGGGGCAGGTTTCAAATGTTGTACTCGCCCAAGCGCCGAACACGTTCGTCTTCAAAATATCAGCAACGATTTCACGGATGGAGGGCGGCTCCTTTTCAAAATGCATTTCTCGCCTTAGCATCACGGGCACCCGCCTTAGAGGTTTGCAACCGTTTCATGGACGGAGTGTGGCAGCTTTCAGCATGTGGCTTGCGCCTTAGCGTCGCGCACATGCGTTTTACACATTTCCACAGCGTCAAGGATTCAGGGGGTAGTTTTTTAATGTGGTTCTCGCAATCGCGCCGCGCGCACTCGTCTGAACAAGTGTGCAGCAAGTTCACGGGCGAAGGGGTCGTTTTCGAAATCGTGGTGTCGCCGTGGCGCCGCGAACATGTGTCCTACAAGTTCGCAGCAGCTTCACGGATGGAGGGCAGCTCCTATTCCAGAAGGAGCTCTCGTTGGAGCGCCGCGAGGCAGTCGCCCCAAAATCTTGCAGCAGCTTCAGAGACTGAGCACTGGCCGTGTTCGACATGGGGCTCTCGCCGCAGCGACGCGCGCATTCGTTCCCAATGCAGTGCTTGACGGCTGGAGCGTCGCTGCGTATAACGGACGGATGGAAGGTTCAGGGGAACAAAAAGTGACATAAACATAAAAACTCGGGGGTCCGCGCGGATTTCTCGGATCGGCGCTGGACCCCCCTCCCTGACGCGCGGAGTGCGCCAGGGGCGGCGCTGGAGGCGCCGCCGGGGGCCCCAGCGCCGATCCGAGAAATCCGCGCGGACCTCCGAATTGTTATGTTTATGCCACTTTTTGTTTCCCTAGTTTTTCCAGACAACAGGATGTCTATGTTACGGACTGCGTGCCAGCTCCCTCAAAAGGCGTATGCTTGAGGTGCTCCAACTGCGCTAGGGAAAGTATTGGGCGGGCTCTTCTTCCTGAGCAGGCGGGTGGAATGTTCAACGGGCGGAGGCATTAATTAACGCATGTGCAGTGCTGCACGGCTACGAGGCGGCTCCCCTCTGCAAAAGTGGAGCCGTCGATCGAGACTTCCCCGAGGCTCATGATCACAAGTGCCCACAGGTGTGAGCAGGGAGTCTCGCTGGACACCCTGTTGAATCGTAGAGTCCTGCGTTTCGCGTTCTTGCCCACGCGCCCGAAAAAAAAATGCCAGGCACTCCCTCTTCCGAGGGGCGGCACCGCAGCAGCGGCAGCGGCCGCGCGTGCTGGTCGTTCTCAAACGGCGGCGCGTCTTCAGACTTGCAGGGGGCGTCGGCAAAGGGCACCTGGAACGGGAGGGTGTACTGCAGCATCGCTGGTTCGTCTTCGGTCTGCCCTGGTCCGAGGGGTGAGGAGGAGGGAGGAGGAACCCTGCGTATGCGTGTTGGCAACATCCGCGGAGGAGAGGAGGAGGGGGAGGAGGAGGACCAGTGTAAACCCAAGAGGCATCAAAGATGTGGCAAAACACCATGCCTGCAATTTCCCTAGAGGGCAGTAAGAGAATTGATTCCAAACCCTCCTGCGTCGGGTTCTCCTTTTGAATCGAACACTGCGGTCGCAACCTCCTCCTCTCCTCCTCCTCCTCTCCTCCTCCTCCCTCCTCCTCCTCCTCCTCCCGCCTCCCGCCTCCCTCCTCTCTCCCTCCTGCCTCTTACCTCGCTCTCCTGCCTCCTACCTGCATGGCAGCCTGCCTCCTAGTTCGCTAATGATGGGGGCTGCAAGCTGCGCAACTCCTGGGGGGCTGCGAACTGCGAAACTTTCTGTAACTTTTCAAGGCTGCTGGGGAGTCCAGCCCAATGAAGTCATACGCAGATTCAGACTCGACCTCGTCATCCCTTGGGGGCTGCGATCTGCGAAACGATCACCACTTTCGAAGGCTGCCGGAGGGTCCAGCAAGGGACGTCATACGCAGATTCCTCGCCATCCCTGGGGGGGGCATCGAGCTGCGAAACTGTCGCCACTTGCAAAGGTTGCTAGGGGGTACAGCGGAATGACGCCTTACGCTGACCCAGATTGGACCTCGCCATCCCTGGGGTGCTGCGATCTGCGAAACTGTTGCCATTTTCGGGGGCTGCGGGGGATCCAGCGCATTGGCGCCTTCCGTACACTCAGATTAGACCTCGCCGCCCCTGGGGGTGTGCGATCTGCAGAAGCGTGCCCATTTTCGAGGGCTGCTGAGGGACCCACCGAAGTGGCGCCCTACGCAGAGGCAGACTAGCCCTCGCCACCCCCGGGGGGGCTGCGAACTGCGAAACTGTCTGGGGGAACGAAGCCTCGCTGCCTTCTTGCAGTAGCTATAAAAACCTAGTCGTCTGCAGCGTCAGATCGACATTGTTTCTTACCTCGCCATCCCTAGGGGGCTGCGATCTGCGAAACTGTCCTCACTTTCGAAAGTTGCTGTGCAGTCTGGCGGGGTGACGCCCCAGATTCGATCTCGCCATCCCTGGGACGCTGCGATCTGCGAAACCGTCGCCAGTTTCGATGGCTGCTGGGGAGGCTGGCATAGTGGCGCTCTACGCAGACTCAGACTACACCTCGCCATCCTTGTGGGCTGCGAACTGCGAAGCCACTCTCGAAGGCTGTTGGGGGTACACCGGAGCAACTCCTTACACACACTCAGGTAAGACCTCGCCATCTCTGGGGGGCCGTGATCTGCGAAACTGTCACTACTTTCGGGGTCTGCTGGGGGTTATAGCGGAATGGCGCCTTACGCAAACTGAACTAAGACCTCGTCATCCCTGGGGAGTGCGATGTGCGAAAGTGTCTCCAGTTTCGAAGGCTGCTGGGGGCTTCAGCGGTGTGGCGCTTCAAGCAGACGTAGGTTAGACGTCGCCGCCCCTGGGTGGCTCCGACTTTCGAACTGTCGCCACTTTCGAAAGCTGCTGGAAGGTCCCGTATCCGTGGGGGGCTGCGAACTGCGAAGCTATCATTTTCGAGAGAGAGAGAGAGAGAGAACAAAAAAAAGAAGTTGGGGTCCAACACAATGACGCCTTGCGCTGACTCAGATTAGACCTCGCCATCCCTGGGGGCGGTGAACTGCGAAACTGTCGCCAGTTTCCGGGGCTGCTGGGGGGTCCAACGGATTGACGTCATACGCAGACTCAGATGAGGCCTCGCAATCGCTGGGGGGCTGTGAAATGCGAAAGTGTCGTCACTTTCGAGGACTGCTGGGGAACCCAGCGGGGTGGCGCAGTACGGAGATCCAGATTCGACTCCGCCATCCCTGGAGATGTGCCAACTGCGAAACTGTCGGGCGAGCTAGGCCTCGCACGCTTCCGGGACTAGCAAGAAAGACCTGGGCTTCTGCAGCACCAGGGGGCATTGCTCGGGCCGCGCGCTCCATGTCCGGCGTGCCAGATGGGAGGAACAACAAACACTTTCTCTTTGTCTTGCACAACGCCTCCTTCGTTGCTGCCTTCTCTTCCACCGTCTCCCTGCCGCTGCTGAGCTGATTTTTCGGCCCCCCTGGCTTCCTTCTGCCCTCCGTTCACACCCACATTCCCCTTTCGAGCCTGGGCTTGTGGATGCCACGATCATGGACACCCTAACAGTCCTATCCTTGAATTAAGATTCTTTTTTTAAATGTCGGAAAATGCTCTAAACATGTTTTAAACATGTGTTTGAACGTGTTTAAATCATGTTTAACATGTTTTAGACATCTGGAAATGACTTGGCAACATGCTTCCTCTCCATTGGCCGTCCTCCACAAGCCTGGGGCCTCCTGGGGCCTCAGTCCTCGTCCTTCTGTTGCTGTCTGATGAGTCGTGCAACGCCCGCGCGTCCCACGCAGCTCGCACAGCCAGTCACGGCGCCTCCACTGGCTCTGTCCATGCGAGTTGGGACCAACCCGTTGTTTCACTTGATGCAAATCGGCTGGGGACGCCACAGCGCCACAAGGTACAGTCGGACCTGATTGGAAAAGGCCACGTTGCCACAGAACTGCAGGAGGCATGGGTCGCAAGACACAAGACACGAGGGTACCCTCGATTTGGCAGGGTCGACCTACTAATCCGGGCCGCCTGTAATTTCATTGCGGGGAATGCCTCAAGGAAGACAACCATCTGAGAATCGTCAACCGTACGAAAAAAAAACATGATTTCTGGGCCTTCGGCGTCGCGAATCAACGCGGCCGCCGCGACCTGACAATCTTCAGTCGCACCAGAGCATCACTCCTGGGACGCCCACACCACGAATCAACGTGACTGCTGTCCTCGTAAGCCCAAACCATGCCAGGACACCATTCTTGCGGCTTCGATGATGCGAAACAGTGAAACCCCTAGAAGCGTTCGAAACGTATGTGCGTGGCGCTAGTGTGAAATCCACACGTTGGAAAAGAACCGCCCTTCATCCTTGAAACTGTTGCATGTTTTAACTAAGGGTGTGCGCGGCGGCGCTGAAGCGAAAGCCACAATTCGAAAAAGAGCCGCCCTCCATCCGCGAAACGGCTAAATTGACCGTGGAACTGATGCACCATTTGAGCTTCAGGATCATACATGGCACGATAATATCAAGCGAAACGCCTGGCCACCCTACCGACTCGTCTGGGGGTGCGACAGGGAGGAATTACTCATAAGAAAACAACGTGGAGGCGGAGATAGAAGGAGAAGGAGAAAGGGCGCGGCGAGGACGAAGCATGCGCCGCGATGACGCACGAAGGCCGCGTTCACTCACAAGCTGCGCGGCGTTTGGGCGAGGCCGGCATTTCGCCTGCTATCGCGCAGCGGCCACTGCCGCCGTCGCTTGCACGCGATTCCGCAAACGAACCATGCGCCGAGCCCGCGCTGGAACGCCACTGAAGGGGCCCTGGGGCACACAAATGAACACACACACACACAAATAACAGGATGCCCCATATTTTCCCATATTTCCTTGGGTGCTCGTCTCCCCCCCCCACTTCCCATGTTTTCCCGCACTCTCTGGGGAATCGGCGATCATTTGTGTCTGTGTCTTTCTTGCCCTCCTGAAGATGTGCGCCGCGTCGCAGCGGCAGCGCCACGTTCGGGCAACGCCTGCGCGGCGCCGAGGCCTTGAGCGACACCTTCGCCCGCTCGCGCGTCGACGACGCTGCGTGTGACGCGTGTGCGCCGCGCCCAGGCGGGGGCCCCGCCCTCTAGGCAGAGGAGCGCGGCGCCGGGGCGAGATCGGAACTTCGGCCCGTCATGATGAGCCTGATTTCCACCACCACCACCAGAAGTTGGAGGGAGGAAGGAGGAGGGCGAGGAGGAGGAGGAGGAAGAGGAGGAGGAGGAGGAGGAGGAGGAGGAGGAGGACCACCCCCCTCCAACTTATGGTGGTGGTGGTGGAAAACCACGCTTTGTTGTTGCAACTTGGGCGACAGGATGTGTCCGTGCCGAGCCGAAGCTGGTTGATGTCGTGTCGCGTTGCTGCAGGGAGGCTTGGGGCCTGGAAGTTGCTGCCATCGGCCAGCAGAGGCCCTGAGTGGGGAGCAGAGGGTAGTGAAGGGTAGGGATGGGAGGAGGAGGAGGAGGAGGAGGAGGAGGGGAGGAGGAGGAGGAGGAGGAGGAGGAGGAGGAGGAGGAGGGGGAGGAGGAGGAGGAGGAGGAGGAGGAGGAGGAGGAGGAGGGGAGGAGGAGGAGGAGGAGGAGGAGGAGGAGGAGGAGGAGGAGGAGGAGGAGGAGGAGGGAGGTGGAGGAGGGGGGGAGGAGGAGGAGGAGGAGGAGGAGGAGGAGAGGAGGAGGAGGAGGAGGAAGGAGGAGGAGGAGGAGGGAGGAGGAGAGGAGGAGGGGAGGTGGAGGAGAGAGGAGGAGGAGGAGGAGGAGGAGGAGGAGGAGGAGGAGGAGGAGGAGGAGGGAGGGAGGAGCAGGAGGAGACGACGAAGGGGGGGCAGGTGAGCCGAGACGACGGGCGTAGGACGCTGGACTTTTGCTCGCCCTGGCGGGCGCCCGCCCTCGCGGGGCCCCTCGGCGGGGCCCCAGGGGCGCGCGGCGTGCCGCCGGGTGCACTCGCGCGCCGCCCCGAAGAAGCGCGCGGGGTCGGCCAGGATCAGGTGCGCCGCCTCTCTGGGGACAGCACGTCCCGTCCCCACCCCCCAGCCAGGGCCCCCGCCCCCGACCTGGTGATCCAGGGGGTCTCGGCTGGGGGTGGGGCCGTTTTCTCGTGTCGAATTTGGGGGGGGGGAGGAGGGGGGGGAGTGGGCGGCCTTGACGGCTGCTGTGGTTTCCAACGGTCGGTGGATGGGCTTGTTTGGGAGGTCGGCTGCACTCGTGGGCGGAAACGGATCCGCGTCCGCGGCCTCGTGGGACGGGCCCCTGGGCCGCGATCCTGCGGACACGGGGCGTTTCTTCGCGGAACGTATCCGTGCGACCGCGTGTCCGCGGGATCGCGCCCCAGAATCCAGACCAAAAACTGGCCTCGGGGTGCGACAGGGAGAAGGTATTCATAAGGAAAAGGAATGATGGATGATGATGATGAGGAGGAGGAGGAGGAGGAGGAGAAGGAGGGGGAGGAGGAGGAGGAAGAAGCCCCAGAATCCAGACCGCGAGGGCGCGGGTATGGATGTGTTCGCAGCGCATGCTGTCCGCACCTCCTGCGCGCGCGGCCTGCCGATCGCCGCGTGAAGGGTGCTACCAGGTGGCGGCCTGCGTGCTCGGCCTTGGCCCACACACCCTCCCCCTCCCCCCCTCCTCCTCCTCCTCCTCCACCTCCACCTCCTCCTCCTCCTCCTCACCTCCTCCTCCTCCTCTTCCACCTCCTCCTCCTCCTCCTCCTTCTCCTCCTCCACCTCCTCCTCATCCTCCTCCTCCTTCTCCTCCTTCTCTTCCTCCTCCTCCTCCTCCTCCCAAAGAAGGGGGCGTCCAAGAGGGGCGTGTGCCAGTCATGGCCCGAGGCACGTGTGCGGACCAGGGGGGGCCAGGGAACGCCTGGAAATAAGAGGGGCCACGAACTCTAGGCAGGCGAAATCTAGGGATGCATCGCGACCCTGGCAATGAGATCCCCCCCCCCGGTCATCACCCCTCCTCTTGTGGCCGCCCCGGGTCTCCGCGCCTAGAAGACGGGGCCCTAAAGGGATGGGACCCTGAGGATACGACGGGAATCCCCAGAGACGAGACGAGGTCAAACTGTCCAGGGTCCGCGCGGAAGAGCATCCTTCAGGAACGTGAGACCCTCCACCGGCCAAAACACACAGAACGTGCAAGGGTGCCCTCCCCAGGATGCGCAAGAATGTCCAACAATAGGGGAACGAACAATAGCATAAACCTAACAACTCGGAGGCCCGCGCGGATTTCTGGGATCCGCGCTGGACCTCCCTGGCGGCGCCTCTGGCGCCGCCCCTGGCGCGCTCCGCGCGCCAGGGACGCGGGCCCAGCGCGGATCCGAGAAATCCGCGCAGACCTCCGAGTTTTAAGTCTATGTCACTGTTCCTTCCCCCAAACAAGCACGAAGACCATCAGGCTGCCCTCCCCGAGCCGGCCTCGATCTGCAACCTCGGTGCGACTGCAGGAGAGGCATCCCGAGAAACGAGACGAGCTGTAAGTCGGGCGTGTCCCCCTACAGGGGGAGTTTCGACGAAAAAAATGTTTTTGCCAAAAAATGATCAAAGAGTAATAAAAAATGGTCCCCAGACTATTTTTTCCTATTTTTGAATTTTCCCCCTGTAGAGGGACAGGCCCGACTCAAGACGAGCTCGGACTGTCCAGGGTCCACCAAGAAGGACCTCGCGGGCCGGTGCTGGTCCCCCCCCTCCGGAGGACACCGCCGTGGGCTTCGCAAGGGATCGGACAGGACAGGCCAGGTCAGGAGCTTGCGTGCCAGCTCCCAGAGGAGCGGCCCCCCAGAGGGCAGCAAGGGCTCCCAACTCCGCGCTTCGCGCTGCGCGACGCGCGAAGTGCGAGTAACTTCGCGCTCTCGCGCCGCCTCCCGGGGGGAGAAGAGGAAGATGAGGGATCGGAGCCGAACCGCGAAGCGCGAAGCGCAAACAGCTTCGCGCCCTCGAGCTCGAACGCCCTTGGGGCAGGCGGTTCAGGTGTACAGCTGCAGCGAGTACACGTTCACGGCGGGTGGAAAACAGCGAGCGACAACCTCATCACTCACGAAAGGGATTGGGGATCGGGAAGATCTGCTGACCTGGGCCAACGCCAACGCGGGCCAGTCAGGCTCTGCAAGATCTGAAGATCATGCATGATCCTATTGGGCTAACTTGGGTCGATGAACCCCTGGCCCCGCAGGATCCTGCCACATGCACACGCCTGCGCCGCCGCTGGCCAGGCCAAGCCAAGGGGCCCAGTGTCGGTGCCTACGCCCTCCTAGCTTGCACGGGGTCCCGGGCTCAGGATCAGCGTGGCCAGGACCAGTGGCAACTCATGGGAGCCTCCCATACCATCTTGTCGGCTCCTGCGAATCGACGCTCATCGACACTAGTCGGCGCTAGTCGACGCTAATCGACGCTAAATCGACGCGAATCGACGCTAACCCACGCAAAATCAGTGCTATCTCCTCGACTCCCAGACGCTAATCGACGCTAGTCGACGCTACTAAGACAGAATTAAGAGGGTACACAAGGCTCCCATGATTTGCTACCGAACACTCCCCTGGCTGGCTAGGCATAAAATGACCCCAACCCTTTTGGAGGCGGCCTAAGTTAGGAGCGCCAGGAACATGAGATAGGTGTCGTTCCTGCCGATGCATCAGGCCAAGCCGCCCAGAATTATGATCCCTAATGCGGAGAAGGAGACCTACGTGAGACCACGTCTTCATCGTGTTCTTAGGGTTAGGGGTTCTTTTGATCGCGATCACCGACGGCGCCTCCGGCCCCGCCACCGACGCGCTCCGCACACCGAGGGAGGCGCGCGGGGGGATGGTTCCAGCGCTGACCCAAGAAATCCGAGCGGACCTCCAAGAACTTCGGAATGATTGTGCACTTATTCGGTCCTCGAGCCTCCTTGTTGAGGGGGTCCTCAGGCTCTGGCTCGGCCAGGAGGGCGGATATGGACAGCAGCGTGGAGAAGACGGTAAGCAGGGGGCTCCACTCCTGCTTCAAGATGTTGAGGCAGATGGACCCGCTCTGCTCGTCGACATTCGGGTGAAAGCAGCGAGTGAGGAACAGCACCGTGGGAGGCCGCATTGGATACTCCTCCGGGAAGGACATGGAGAGGTAGAAGACGCCGCCTGCGCATGGCCCAGCGCCCACCAGAATCGGAGGGGGTCAGAGAAGACGGGGACCAGACTCTATCTGGCATGGGCGGCACCAATCACGGGGAGCGAAACAGGGAGGCGAAGAGGGAGGGGAGGCGAAGAGGGAGGGGAGGCGAAGAGGGAGGGGAGGCGAAGAGGGAGGGGAGGGGGAAGAGGGAGGGGAGGGGGAAGCGAAGAGGGAGGGGAGGCGAAGAGGGAGCGAAACAGGGAGGCGAAGAGGGAGGGGAGGGGGAAGGCAGCAAGAGGGCCCCCACTCTCGAGAGGAGACCCCATGTCACGGGGGGCCCAGAGCCCAAAGACCACGTGCTGCATCACCGTGCGGGGGTGCGTGGCCACGCTCGAAGAGGTTCCGGCGTTCCTCGCCCATCTTGTCAAAGCAAAATCATGGCTTTGGGCAGGGCACTCCTGTGCAGGCCCACGCGACTGCAGCTGAGCAGACTGTGCGCTCGGCACGCAGTGCATCACGAAGTCGCCGTGCTCTGGCGGCGTACCCTTATAGGTCCAATCGCCGCACCCCACAGCACACTCGAATCTGCGTGACGACGCCGCCCACGCGAATTCTTGGGCGCCGAATGCCCACGCTCAGAGGAAATCCCAGCCTTCCAGTAGAAATTCTTATACATCAAGATATTATCCTGATCATCGTTCTATTCAGCGATTTCCAACTCTGTTATTCCTTATCAAATAGCAACACTGATAGAACCAATATGAGTGAGGAAACCACGCAGGCACTGAACGCACCGCCAGCGGACTTCGCCCACCGAGTGCAGATCGTGCTGCACAGCACACGGCCTCTCCTGCTGAAGGAGGCCTCTCGAGCGGCGGACAGGGAGCCCAGTCAACTCTGGGAGCGGGCCCACACGCCAGCTCAGGCCCCAGGCTCAGCAGCCCGCGCATAGCCTCCGCGAGAAGGCGGCGTCCGGGCGCGCACCCTCAGGGGCCCGTCTCGGCCTCCACGACGCGTTCCGGACGACCCGCCGCTCACCCTCCGTCTCAAGGGGGGCGGCTGGGGCGCCCTGGTGCGAAAACCTCGGCAGCCGCTCCGCATGCGAGGTCGCCGTGCCGCACTCGGCGGCAATGCCCAGCGCCGGAATACGCTGGGCCCCGAGGTGCACGCGACTCTGCGCGCAGAGGCTTCCAGCACAGCCGCAGTATCGCCCCTGTACCCATGGCTCCCTATCACCGTACTCATCCCCCAGGACGAAGGCCTGGAGCTCGGCAAGCTGAGAGGTGAGGCAGCCCAGAAGCTTACGCGCAATCCCCCTCCCCGCTTCTGAACCACCGCCCATCCCGCCCGCCACTGAGGGACTGCGCGTGCACTCGCCGCAACACGGTCGCAGGTAGCACTTTGCCATCCTTGTGCCTCGAGTCCGTGGTCCTCCACAACGCCTCGAAGCACCTGCCCACTGGCATATAGGCGGCCTTCCCGATGGGATCTGACTACCTACCAGACCACCCCAACCCAACCCGAAGACCCGAATTTCCGGTTGAGGGGGGGTAAGGGTTCCACGTGTGTTTTTGTCGATGTGTCCCGACCCCCCCCCCCTGGCTGGAAATCGAGAGTAAATCTGAGCCTTCGGGTCGGGCTGGGGTGGTTTGGTGGGTGGTGGGGATCTGGGTCTGGGCAGGTCGCGCCGGAGACACCCGCTTGGTCGTGCGGCCGTGCCCGCACGCCTGCTTGGTCAACGGCCTCCTCCCCTGGCAGCTCCTGGAGCGCGAGGCCACTGACCTCCCCGCCCCACTTCTTCGTGGACAGGGCAGCCGCGTGCAGAGTGCGTCTCGTCTTCCTCGGGGCCTGCACCGCTCCGCACGCCACCGCTCACCTCGAGCAAGTCCGTGGTGGACGCCCCGAATGGTGCTGCATATGTCGCCGCTGTCCAGCTCGGACGTCGGCTTCCGGGTGTCGAACCGAAGCCGGCCTGGCTCGCTCAGCTCGGCCTGGCTCGCCCCTTGCCACGCGGTCGCTCCACCTCCTCTCTGGGCAGCCCGACGCCTCCCAAGCCGCGCACGACCTCCTCAGTGATGACGCCGTCGTTCCCGCGGCTGGCTTCTCTTGCGCTGGCGGCCTGCATTCCCGAGTTCCACCGGCAGGCCGCTCTCGAGGGCACGCGCCGCCTCCCGCATGATGTCCAGGCGCCTCTGCTCTCGCCGTCAGCGACCACTTCCCAGCTGACGTCGTCCGCGTGCACCGCGGTGCCGACCTCGGGGCGCGCCACGGGCTGGGCCCTCGTCTCGTCCGTGAGCTGCGCCTGCAGCGCGCACGCAGCTGAGGAGCACCCTGCCTCGATGCTGCTGTCTGGGCACACGGTTTCTCCGGCCAGGCCGTCGAGCATGATGGCGCGCCGCCACCTGAACGCTCCAAGGGTGACCCAGAGGATGTGGAGGGGGAAGAGCTCCTGGCGCCCGAGGCGGCAACGGATGTCGTGCCAGACGTTCCCAAAGGCCGTCGCCAAGTCCCACAGCAAGATGAGGAAGGCCTTCTCCTCCCTCGTGGCTTTCTCCGCCTTGACGGCTGCCGGTCATACGCAATCCGTGACAGTGCGGGATGTGCCTGTGTTAAAAATCCCGCGCTCATCACACGATCTCTTCCAGCTCTGCAACGCTGGTTTGTGGCACCGCCCCCCCCTACGCGGTGATAGCCCATAAACTGGCCTATGGGGCGTAGTCCGCCTGTGGGCTTAATGTACTAGGCCGTGCACATCTCATGCTCGCCGGTGAGGAAGACGCCTGCTTCTGTGATGATGTTGAGCAGCGTGGTGAGCGGCCCCACGTCGCTGAGCCACCCAAGGTGTCGAGGCTGGATCCCTCCAGACTGGCAGGTTTTGATGTTCAAAGACCTGCTTACCTCGCGTGCCTGCTCAGCGGTAAGGTTGTGCTGTCGGTACGTGTGCCCGTTGCCCTGGATGGCGGCCGCGGTCGCCGCGTGCAGGCCTGGGGGGACTCTGTCAGGCTCAGTTGGAGGTCGGACGCTCCAGGCCCTAGACTACTCAGCTTGGTGCTTGGCCAAGAGCGCTGCTGGGCAAGCTGACCTGTTCTGGATGTGCCCCATTGCACCGTCCACGAACTCCGCGGTTCCTTCGCCTGGGTCGTTGATCCACTTGTACAGCATGGGCCCCCTCCTCAAGTGGTCCTCTGCCAGCCCCTGTGTCAAGCTCTTGACCTCCCTGCCGTAGTTGAGCCGAGGAGGGTGGAGGGGAGATGGAGGAAAGAGAAAGAGAGAACGAGAGAGAGAGAGAGCGACATACGGACAGATAGACTGAGGGACAGACAGAGAGACAGACAGAGCATGAAAGAGAGAATATATAGAGAGAGAGAGAGACAGAGAAAAAAGAGAAAGAGCGAGAGAGAGAGAGAGATTACAAATGACAGAACAAGATGGAGAAAAACAGAGAGGGAGAGAGGGAGAGAACGAGAGACAGGAACATGGAGAACGGAGAACGCCGATAGAAGAGAGAGACAGTGGCGGCAATGGCTGCGGGCATCCCTCAGACGAAAACCAAACAAAACAAGACGGATACAAGCAAACCGTAAAATAAGGGCGCACGATAAGGATGCAAGGGCCTTGGAAGGCCATGTCGACACTTTGTTAACGGGGCGCGGCCAGCGACAGCGGCCGAGGAGGGGCCGAAGGGGAAGGAGGCGAGGGTAGCCCTGGGGAGACCTTTTTATGCGGGCTGACTTTAGCGGCACTGGGCTCGGGCATCCCGTCAGAAGAGCAATACGGGCACACGAGGGAGGGGGAGGGGCGAGGAAGACGAAGGGCGAGAAAGGTTTCGAACAGCGCGGTGTTTAAACGCGCTCGGCCCTTGAAGGGCTTCTGGACCTCCAGAAACATCCGAAGACCTCCAGAGGAGTCCGGAGACTTCTGGAGGCCCCAAGACCTCAGGGAGAGGAGCAAAAGGAAGCAAAGCAGGAGGAGGGGGAGGACGACGAAACGGAGGAGGAGGAGGAGGAGGAGGAGGAGGAGAAGCAGGAGGAGGAGGAGGAGGAAAAGGAGGAGGGGGAGGAGGGGGAGGAGGGGGAGGAGGAGGAGGAGGAGGAGGAGGAGGAGGAGGAGGAGGAGGAGGAGGAGGAGGAGGAGGAGGAGATGGAGCAGGAGAAGGAGGAAGAGGAGGAGGAGAAGAAGGGAGGATGAGGAGGAGGAGGAGGAGTGCAGCGAGAAGACAAATCCCTAAACGACCACATTTCGGGTAATAAAGAGGTTGTCGCGTAGGGGGCACGAACTGAAGACAAGTGCGATGCTGGTGGTATGCTCGCGAGCTGGTGACGACGCATGTTGGCGATGTTGGCGACGACGCCGCCAACATCGCCATCGGGACACCATGGGGACACCATCGGGTGTGGACCCCATCGGGACACGATGTGGACACCATCGGGGCACCATCGGGTCACCATCGGAACGCCATCTGAACACCATCAAGACAACATCGGGACACCGTCGGGACACCATCGGGACACCACCTGGACACCATTGGAACATCATCGGGACACCCCCAGGCCACAGCCGGCCAACCTGGCGGAGCCTGATTTGGCCCAGCTTCGCCCGATCAGCGGCGACACCAATGGAACACCACCAGGGCACCATCGGGACAGCCCCGGGCCACCGCCTTCCCAAAACGGGGCGAAGAACCATGTGGCATGGCTTCGCCCTGGCAGCGGCGGGCGCACTGCTCTCCGCCGCCCACGCAGGCTTCGCCCCGCGTGCGCGCGCGCGACGCGGGCCACGAGATCGAAACCGATTTCCCGGCGGGGGGTCCATGTTTCATTTCGGTCTCAACCCCCACCTCCGATATACCACCACCGAGCCTGCAACTGCACACGATGAATTCGGGTCCTGGTGGATGTAGTTCCCCAGCCCATCCGGGGAGCCGATCTCCACCAGACCGCGGGCGCCCCAAGAATGGAAATAGCCCGACCACCGATCAGGGACGCAGGCCAGCAAGCCACAAATCTACCCTCCAAGATTTCGTCGTCGCCGCCCATGTCTCACGGATTTTCGTGGTCTTTCGACCACCCGAAGCATCTCCTCGAATTCGGCCTCCAGGAACCGTTTTCGGTGCTGGGGACCACCGCCGAAAGTCCGGGATGAGGTTCGACCTCCCTGGGTGGTGCCACACCGTCGCAAAGGAAGCAACACGGGGTGGATCGAGGCTCGAGGCATGCGACTCCTAGTTCTTGGTTCTTGGGCGCTCTCCGCCCCCTCTGGGCCTTCAGGAAGCTCCTCGTCGACACAGCTGGGTCCACTCTCGAACTTCTGACCGGACGCAACCCCAGCTGGGTCTCAACGATCCCCGAGCATATCCAGGAGGTGGAAAAGGATGCCTGGGACAGGCCCCGTGAAGGCATCAAGAAATTCACATAAGACCACGAAAAGCTTCAAAACAATCCCCTACAAGGCCCCCCCTTGAACCCCACAAGCTACGTAGGACAGGCCGAACCCCCAAGATTGCCCAGCGATCGCGCGCGTTCCGCGAATTCTGCCTTTCACTCTTGCTACCGCCCCAAGGGGTCGGCGGTGCGGCGTAAGCCAATGAATCTACCCTCCCAAACAACCTCCTGCTCGAGTTCCTGCTCCTCCCTGGCCTCCATATCCACTTCCTGCTGCTCTTGACACTCCCCATCCCGTTCCCTTATGAATGACTCCCGCCTGTCGCACTCGCAGACGCGTCAGCGCTTGAGATTTCCTCACCACGTATGATCCTGAAGCTTAGGAGTTGCAGCAGGTTCACGGTGGAGGGCGGGCCATTTTCAAAATGTGGCCCTCGCCTAAGCTCGCCGCGCACACCCTTCTTGCAAATCCCACCAGCCCTTCAAGGCGTGAGTGGTTTAGCGAGTTTCTTCTTCCAACCCCCCTTCTTTCCCTTCGGGAAAGGTTTTTACCCCTCCCCCTACCCCCTCCACCTGGGTTTGGAATGGGGCGTCTCGCGAGACGTCGGAGCGTCCAAGATGGCCTCGGCGAGGGAGCCAAAAAAATTGTTTGAATCGAAACGTGCTGTCTCAAATTTGGCCTCTGGGGGGAGGGGGGGCGGGCGTTGCCAATTTAGCACAGCCCCTCATTCGACCGACTTCTTCCGAGATAGCCCCGATATGGCCCCCGAGGCTCCTAAGGGTACCACAAGACGACCCCAACAGGTGCCCAGGAGGACCCAAGAGGCCCCCAAGAGGCTCCCATGAGGCCCCCATGATGCCCCCAAAACGCCCCCAAGAGACCCCATACCACGCCCCAAGAAGCCCCCCACAGGCACCCAAGACGCCCCAAGGAGCCTCGGCGCGAAGTCCAACATCATGGATTGCACGAAGGTTTTTGCAACATGTTGGCCTCCTGAGGAGCAGGGGTAGGGGGGGCTGCCTAAGGGGCCCCCCTCCTTTGATCGATCTCCTTCAAGGTAGCCCCAACGTGGCCCCAATATGGCCCCCGAGGCTCCCAAAGGCGCCCCAAGAGGGCCCAAAGAGGTGCCCAGGAGGCCCCCAGATGCCCGCAAGAAGCCCCCAAGATACTCCCAAGAGGCTCCCAAGAGAGCCCTACGACGGCCCAACAGGCCCCCCAGAGGCACCCAAGTCGCCGTAAGAGGCCTCGGCGAGAAGGCCAACATCACTGATTGCACCAAAGTTTTGGCCATATAAGCTCCCCAAAAAAAACTTCAGAGAGGACAAGGAAGAGGAGGAGGCGTTGGAGGAGGAGGAGGAGGAGGAGGAGGAGAAAGAGGAGGAGGAGGAGGAGGAGAAAGAGGAGGAGGAGGAAGAAGAGGAGAAAGAGGAGGAGAAAGCAGGAGGGGAAAGGGCGAAGACGACGAGCACGGATCTGGAGGGGGAGGTGGCCCGAGGAGGAGGGAGGGGCACACGGACAGGGGGCACACGAGCCCGAAGGAGCCCCTCGCGCGGAGCGCCGACGGCCACGGGACGCGGGGCTCAGCGGACGCATCGGCTTGGAGGAGCGCGCGCGGGCAGGCGGCCGGACGGACGCGCCACAGAGGCGAGCGAGTGGCAGGCAGCAGGCGCAGGCCTGCGTACGGCGTCTCCGACGGCCCGTGCAGCTCCGCCACCCACTCCTCGGGCGCCGCGGGGCGCCGCGGGTGCCGCTTGTCATCTCTCGTCCGGACTCCTCGTCGTCCGCATGCCCTTTTGTCCGCTTCGATTCGTGCTGTTCGAGTCGCCCTCCTCGGCTCGTCCCCTTCGAGTCGTCCGCTTCGGAGGGCGGACGACAGGAAAGAGGGCAGAACGAAAGAGGGCGAGACGACAGAGGACGGAACGAACGCGGACGAAGGTCCCCACTGGCAGCGCGCCCCCGGCCCCGCTCCTCCCAAGAGACGAGGCCAGGAGGAAGACCAAGGACCGCCGGGGCACTGGAGAAGGAAACAGTGGATAAGGAGTTGCAGGCTCTGGAAGCCTGGTGGAGCACAAAACGTGGATTGGCCATGCATGCTACCGCCGCCCTCATCAGAAAAGGAATCCCCCAGGGTCCGAAGCCTCCTAGGCACACTCCTCAACCAACGCGCCCACCGTATGTTGAGTGCCGAGGCCGCTGACAAGTGCTCCAGAGCGCTCTGAGAGCGATGTATCCTCATCCTAGGCCTACCAGCCCCTAACCCTGCCTCAGACATCCGACGCCGCGAGAAGATCACGACGCCGGGGCAAGATCACCGCTGTAGCCCTTGTCCAGGACTCCTCCCGGAGCCCGATCGGCCCGCGAGGGCCCTGGAGCCCGAAGCTTTTAAATTCTCACGACGCCCGGGTGTCTGGGCCCTCCTCCTCCTCCTCCTCCTCCTCCTCCTCCTCCTCCTCCTCCTCCTCCTCCTCCCTCATCCTCCCTCATCCTCCTCCTCCGACCCCCTCCTCCCTCCTTAGGAGGCCTGGAAATGGGCACCAACACCAACACTGGGGGTTGCCACCGCACGGGGAAGGTGATCCTAGATTTCGGTGTTGGTGGCAATATTTCGGCCACCTTGGAAGCCAGGACATTACCACCATCACCGAGATCGGGATCTTCTACCCTCGGTGGAGGCACACGGCCGATATTGGTGTTGGTGTCAACCTCCAGGCCTGCGACTCCTCCCTCCTCCCTGCTTCCTCCTCCCTCCTCCCTCCCTCCCTAGAGGAATGAAACATGGCAAAAACATGAAAATTCGGATGCCCGCGCGGACTTTTTGGACCCGCGCTGAGCCCCCGTCCATGGGGTGCGGAGGGCGCCAGGGGCGGCGCCGGAGGCGCCGCCTAGGGAGCCCCAGCGCCGACCCGAGAGACCCGCGCGGACCTCCGAGCTTTTATGTTTGTGTCGTTGCTCCTTCCCCTACTCCCTCCTCCCCCTCCTCCCTCCTCCCCCTCCTCCCCCTCCCCTCCTCCCTCCCTTCTCTCGGGTCGGGCAAACGGGGGGGGATAGCAAAGGGGGGGCTTGAGAATCAGCTCGCATTTTCCCGGCGCCTCCCGGCGCAGGAGGCGGCTATATGTATCGAGGAACGGGCCCCTCGGCGAGACCGAAAAACCAGCGGCATGCAGCAAATTTCGTACCCCCCCTTTCCCAATCCCCCCCTCTCGTCCGGCCGAGTCCTCCCCCTCCTCCCCCCCTCCCCTCCTCCCCCTACTCCCTCCTCCCCTCCTCCCCCTACTCGTTCCCCTACTCCCTCCTTCCCCTCCTCCCCCTCCTCCCCCTCCCCTCCCGAGGCGACGGCGACGACGACCCCGGCGGCGGCGGCGACCACGGCGGCGGCGGCGGCGGGGTCTCCAGCAGCTCGTCGGGCCCCCGCGGCGCGGCGAAGGGCGCCGGCGGGTGCCCGGTCGCCGCGGGCGCGGGCGCGCGCTCGCCCTCGCGCATGGCCTCCAGCTCCGCCCCGAGGCGGCGGCATGCCGGGCTGTCGGGGGGGGAGGGGCTCGCACGCAAGAGAGGGTGCAGCAGGCAGGGAGGGGCAGCATAGATGGACAATGTAGACTCGAGCCCTTGCACAGTCGAGGGAGTTTCCAAAAATCGCCCCCGCGCCCCCGACAGCAGTGTTGATCTCAGTAGAGGCATTGCTTTTGGGGTTCGAATACGTCTGTCCACTCACGCCCTCCCCCCCGTCGCCACGCCATCAATATTCATTTCGAGGGGTCTGGGGGGCATCTTGGGCCACGGGGTTCGAATGCAGTGTCCATGTACGGGAGGGAGAAGAGTCTAGGGAACAACCTCTGGGAGGTCTTCGTGTCGACGTGGACAGTGCCCAGGCTGGGTGCCCGAAGGGGTCGCATGACTCGAGCGTCGCAGGCGGCCACGCAGCTGAACGTGCCAGAAGAAGCTGAACGTATGTTTCGTGTCGAGTGTTTTTGCGCTTTACCCTTTGGGCCATCACGCGCGGTATGCCCCCGACAGTCGCCTCGCATCGCAAGGATGCGCGACGATAATTAAGGATGCAAGGGCCTACTGGACGCACACTTCGAAGCTGTTCGAGCGGGGCGCGGCCAACGAAAGTGGCCAAGAATGGACCGAGGAGGCAAGGATGCAAAGGGCACCCTTGGGAAGATTGTTCCCATCCTACTTAAGGACCTCATTCCAGAAATAATTTCGAGCACCCGGAAAAGTGTCAAAAGAGTGTCGAAACAGTGTCGAAACAGTGTCGGGCGAGTGTATCCCAGGGCCCGAGACGTGAAAACCCTTGAGTTTCGGTACTTTTTGGGGCGCTCGAAATTCTTTCTGGTGATCAAGGCTAAAAGTAGGTTTGAGCATCATAACCCTTGGGAAGGTTGTCCATCCTTACTATGCGGGTTGACTGCGCCCTCCCCTGCCCCTCCCCCCCCAACTAACGTGACGCTCCCTCCCGCAGTGCGTCCCCGGCACTGCCACAGTGCGTCCAGCACCACAGTCTGAGGGGGAGGAGCGGGCGCTGCTGTGTGCCCCCTCCCGTCCTCCCCCCCCCCTCCCGCCCATGACGCCAGTTGCAGCCGTGAGTAATAGATGCGCTCCAAGCAGCTTCGACTGGAGGATGACTTGTTTCCCACATAGACAAGCTCTTTCCACTACTCACAGAGTAACTACTCGCAAATGGCCTGGAACCGCCGCGTGTGGGATCTGGGATCAATTACATGGAGGATGACATGCTTTGTTCGGACGTCTGCGAGTAGGCACTTTGCGAGTAGCGGAATGCGTTCAGTGATTACACCCAGGCTGACCCATGCCTGCAATGCAGCTTTCCAGCGGCCTCTGGGAAGCGACACCAGGTGATCGCAACGATGGGAGGACCTCTGAATGGAGGGTGGTTGGGGCTGGAGGTGGAGCAAGGTTGTGGTTACCCAACCCCTACTCGTACACAGGGTTTTGGCTTGACCCGCGAGCGGTGACCAGCGCTTACCCCGAGTGCCAGTGACTGTTTGGCAGAGGTCCGTGGGATTGACGAGCGCATCGTAGAAAGCTACATGAAGTCCTGTCTTGGTTCGGTGCGGGTCCCACTTTCAAGGATGCACGCGCACCCCCCGAAGAGGAGCCAAACTGACTGGAGTCAGAGCTGATATTGACGACCCCTGCCAATGTCAATTTCTGGAGGGGGAAGATCGGAGAACAACCACGAAGCTCCGATGGTCCCGCCACGCCTCTATGTATGAGCCAGCCTGGGTGGACAAATCCTCCAACCGGATCCGAAGAAGCCAAATCACTGATTCCCCTTGAGTTCTTGAATAATTTTCGCATGTTCGCCTTCTCGGGCTGCCTTCTATGTTCACGACGGCCCAAGAGGCATCCAAATAGACCACAAGACGGCTCAAGAGGGCCTCCCGTGGGACCCAAGACGGCCTTAGAAGGCCCGTCGACGGCCAAAGACGGCACCAAGACGGCCCCACGACGGCCTCCAGAAACCCAACATACGGCCAGCAGGGCCCCGAGACGACCCAAGAGAGCCCCAAGCCGGCGTCAGAGGGCCCCAAGACGGCACAAGAGGGTCCCAATAGACCCCCAGGACTGCCCCACATGAGGCCAAGACAGCTCCAAGCAAGACTGCCAAACTAGTTGCGTCGTCGTCATCAGCATCATCATCATCATCATCATCATCATCATCATCATCATCATCATCATCAGCAGCAGCAGCAGCAGCAGCATCACCAGCAACATCAGCAACATCATCAGCATCAGCATCAGCATCAGCATCAGCATCAGCATCAGCATCAGCATCAGCATCATCATCATCATCATCATCATCATCATCATCATCATAATCGGCATCACAATCAGCATCATCATCGGCATCATCAGCATCATGATTGTCAGATTCGGCATCACCGTCATCACATTAGCATCATCACCATCACCGTCATCACCATTATCATACTCATTCATACAATTCGTCATCATCCTCATAAGCATCATCAACATCATCATCATCAGCATGAGCATCATCATCAGCATCAGCAGCATCATCATAACCAACATCATCAGCAGCAGCCTCATCTTCAGCATCATCAGACTCATCAACATCATCATCAGCATCATCATCACCTTCGTCGTCACCATCATCATCGTCGTCGTAATAATCAGCATCGGCATCATCATCGTCGTCGTCGTAACCGGCATCATCATCACCATCGCAATCGCCATCGCCATCGCCATCGCCATCACAACCCGCAGCACCCTCACCATCACCATTACCATCGCCGCAAACGTGATCGTCATCAACATCACCACCACCACCATCAACATCACCATCACATGAAACGCATCAGCATTGCCATCATTATCATCAGCATCATCACCATCATGCCATCATAACCCTCAGAACCCAAATCAGCGCAATTGTCATCGCCATCGCCGCCAACGCCATCATCGTCATCATCATCGGCATCATCAGCATCACGATCATCGTCGTCGTCGACATCGCCATCATAATCATCGTCATGGGCATCAGCACCAGCATCAAAATCAGCATCATCATAAGTACCATCATCATCATCATCACCACCATCATCGCAATCATCGCCACGGTCATCCTATCCAATATCACCTTCAGCAGCATCAGCATCACGACACCATTATCATAATCCGCAGCATCCCCTATCACGGCTCCCCCACGCCTGGAGACACGAGGCGCCCCACCTGACGGCATTCCGCGCCCCCCAGAACAGCCGCCACACAGAACGCTGGGCTGGCAAGGTGGCGGGACTTACCGCATGCAGCTGGGTAGAATCCTACGAGGGCTTGGCCCTTCTCTGCTAAAATCCTATCAGGGCTCGGCCCACATCTTACCACAAAAATAAACAGAGTGGGGCTGCACCTGGCTCTGATAGATTTTCATTGGGGAGGGATGCAGTTCTACTTGAATTCTTCTAGGGCCCGATCCAGCTCTGAAAGATCCTACGAGGGCTCGGCCCAGCTCGAGTAACAAACTGTCCCAAGGCTGAATCCAGCACGCATAAGTTCTTACGGGGTTCGATCCAGCTCCAAAATGGGCCCCACAAAGGCTTGGTCCAGCTCGAATCTTATCCCACGAGGGGTCGATCTAGCATCCACGGCATCCTACATAGGGCTCGGACTAGTTGTTGCGGAGTCCTATGGTGGGGCTGAAAAATACCACCAGAAAAATACCCAGAACTAGTGAAGTCAAGCGCTGACTGGACCAAACTTCACGAGAATCCGTGCAGGGCTGACTCCAATTCCAATGGAGCCCGACCAACGCTCAATCCAGCTTCGATGCAAACCTACACGGATTGATTGGACCCAGCTCGAATGGCACCCTAGCAGGACTCGGTCCAGACCTGATAGAACACTACTGTGGTTGAACCCAGTCATACAAGTATCGCACGACGCGTCGATCCAAACTTCTTCTCGGGCCCGATCCATCTCTCGTCAAATCCTATTCGGGTTCGATCCAGCTCTGATAGAAAACTGCTAGGGCTCCATCCATATCGATTAATACCAAAGTGGGGTTCAACCCAGCTGTCACAGCATCCTGCTGGGGCGCAGTCCAGCCCTGCTAGAATCCTAGCGCGGCAGGGTCTAGCCTGAATAAAACGCTTGTAGGACTGGATCACGCTCTAATCGAATCCTGCTGGAGCTCGACTCAGCTCTGATTAGATCCGATCAGAACTACGTCAAGATGTGGAAGACTCCGATCAGTTTCGAATACGGCAGAATCTCGGCCCAACACTCATTCAACATACTTCTGGAGTTAGATCCCGCTCTCAGAGAATCCTACTAGGGCTCGATTCAGCCTTAAACAAGTCCTCCCAGGGCTATATCCAACTCAAATAGAATCCTAGATTGCCTCGATCCAGCTTTGATAGATTCCGACTATGGCTCGATCCAGCTTCCAGCGCATCCCGACATGGCTCGAACATCGTCGTCGCCGTCGTTTGATAGGCGACGTCCTCGTCGACGTCGTCGCCGTGGTCGCGATCGTCGTCGTTTTCGCCGTCGTCGTCGTTCTCGTCGTCGTTTTTGTCGGTTTCATCGCTGTCGTTGTCGTCGTCGTCGTCGTTGTCGTTGTCGTCGTCCCTGTGGTCGTCGTCGTCGACGTCGGCGTCGGCGACAGCGTCGGCGTCGGCGTCAGCATCGGCGTCGGCGTCCGTCGTCCTCGTCCTCATCGTCCTCGTCCTCGTCGTCGTCGTAGTCGTCGTCGTCCTCGTCGTCTTCGTCGGCGTCGTCGTCGTCGGCGTGGGGAAGTTCTAGAAACCCCCCATCCCCCCAAGTGTTGACTGGGGATGGAGGGGCTTGGAACCCCCCCGCCAGCAGCGGCAGAAAGAGCCTTGCAGAAAAACTCATGAACGACGACGACGACGACGACGACGGCGACGGCGATAACGACGATGCCCACGGGCAGGCCTGGAGCCCAATTCGTGAATCAGCACCCAGGGCGCTGACGTGCGATGGACCTCCCCCGCCCCCCGCGCGTATTGGCCGTCGGCCTGCAGCACTCGCGGCCCAGACCCTGCCCCGGCAGGGGCTGGGGAAGGTTCTCTGGCGGCGATGGGCGCAGCACGCTGGGAGACGCGCCCGCCACCGCCAGAACAAGGGCGCAGGAGGAGGA